AGGCATTGCTGCAGGATTGTACTATAATGAAGCAGGGGGTGATCTCTCTCATTATTCACCACCATGACACATTCACCCCTGGACCCCCGAGGTAAAGCCCATTACTCACTCCTTTATTCTTTATCTCTCTCTTCTTCTTCATGGCTTTCAGGCCGAGTCGTCTTCCGTATCCCCGACTGGCTGCACCACCTGCTGATGGCCGGCAGGATGCTGGTGAAGAACACGCTGGAAGCCTACACAGACTACTACCTTCAGTGCAAACTGAACCAGGTGGTCCAGGAGCACCGGCTGGTCTCACTCATCACCTTGCTTAGGGGTAAGAACACGTGTGAATTATCTAAGATTGTTGAACTATCCCATTAAACTTGCTAATGGAAGAGATTGAATGATTTACATAATATTTGCCCTTCTAGACACAGTTTTCTGTGAGAGCAGTCAGCCCCGCTCGGCGCCGGACAAGCAGAAGAGGGCGAAGAAGACATTCGAGGAGATGATAACCTATATTCCAGGTATTTATTATACTATATTAGACCAACCTACTGCTCAAATGTGCAGATGTGAAAGCAACTGTATTAAAAAGATATTCATAAGCCGCTTGTATTTAGATTTTCTGGGCAAGTGTATCGGAGAAGACGCCAAGTTTGAAGGTGTACGTCTCCTCTTCGATGGACTGCAACAGCCAGTTCTTAACAAACAGGTAAACAAGTCCCGTCATTTTCAGGACACATACAACATGTAGAACACTCCCAATTCTCCCACTACTTGAAATAAACCCTACGCTCTTACCATGATTTTGTTTAATTTGTTTAATTGTTCTGGAGTTTAGCATTTGCATATATATATATTTTTTTCTATATGTATTTTAGGGAGTGTAAGTTAAAGAGCAACTTGCAGGTTTTTATTTTTTACTACATTTATGCTTAACCTTGCCTGAAAATTACAATTAAAAATGTTAATGCAGGATTTGATATGTTTTACAAGACATAAGGGCAGGAATTCAGAGGAAAAGGAGCCGTTTTGAGCTCTGCTACTAAAAACTGCTTTTTTTTTACGTCATACGTCAAACGCGTCATATTACGTCACATGGGGGAGTTAACTTTCTCGGACTTGTTCTCTGCCCAATCCGCGGTAGTAGTTTGTAGTTGGTTTGAGCGGTTGTGATTTAGTGAGCTGGTATTTTTTCGGTAATTTTAAATTGCATTTCACCATTTGTAATCATGGTGGGCTTGTGTTTGTGCAGGTTGCACAAACTCAAGCCTGTCAGGGCATCGAGTCCACACGTTTCCCTCACGGGAAAAGGACCGGAGCTAGCGTTCGTTCCTGGGTGCGTTGTGCATCCACCTCCCTGCAGCACATACTCCGTCTCCACAGCGTTATCAAGAAACCGTATTACATCTCTCTCCCCCCCTTCGCTGCTCTCTCTCTCTCTCTCTCCCCCCCTTCGCTGCTCTCTCTCTCCCCCCCTTCGCTGCTCTCTCTCCCCTCCGGTACACAGCACCGTAAGACGTAGTGTGTGGAGTTGCATTAGGTAACGCTGTGGTGGCTGTACTGCTCCAGCCGTCTCCTTTGTGTTTGTTTGTTTCCCCCTGTCTGTGTTGTTTTTGTGGGCGTGGTGGCTGTCACTCCTGGCTCCCGGCTCAACCTCCACTCACCTGCTGCAATCAGCTGTGCACCCTCCCCGACTACACACCTGCTTTCCATCAAGCCATTTACAACGGCATATCAACGGAGGCTCCACAACCTTTCTCCGCCAGATCGTCAAGTATCAGCCGTATCTCGCGTCTCCCCTCCGGTACACAGCACCGTAGTGTGGAGTTGCATTANTGTTTTTCGTCAAATGCTCTGGGTTTATCCCGCACAATTAGTGCCGTCGTAAATCGACTCATAATACTCCTATCGTTAAGAGGACATACTCCGAGAGGGAGAGAAAAAAAAAAGATTTCGATGCCTGGGTCTTAGTCGGTGAAAATCATTGTCCCGACTTAGCTCGCATACTCCGTCCGATCTTCCTCCTAGACAAACTCATAAACTACGTTTTGGTGAAAGTAATCTGTACAAACTATATAGACTCTGGATAAAAAAAATTATATACGGATTTTTATCATAGTCATCCGTCTGGAAATTTATTTGTGCATTTTCCTGAGTAACTAATCCTGTAACTGGATCTTGTACAATAATAAGGATTATCTATTACGCTACTTATGACCCGAAAAATTACTACTTACGAACTTGTGGCGGAATACCTAAACTTCAAGGAGTGTAAGTTAAAGAGCAACTTGCAGGTTTTTATTTTTTTACTACATTTATGCTTAACCTTGCCTGAAAATTACAATTAAAAATGTTAATGCAGGATTTGATATGTTTTACAAGACATAAGGGCAGGAATTCAGAGGAAAAGGAGCCGTTTTGAGCACTGCTACTAAAAACTGCTTTTTTTTAAACGTCATACGTCAAACGCGTCATATTACGTCACATGGGGGAGTTAACTTTCTCGGACTCGTTCTCTGCCCAATCCGCGGTAGTAGTTTGTAGTTGGTTTGAGCGGTTGTGATTTAGTGAGCTGGTATTTTTTCGGTAATTTTACATTGCATTTCACCATTTGTAATCATGGTGAGCTTGTGTTTGTGCAGGTTGCACAAACTCCAGCCTGTCAGGGCATCGAGTCCACAGTTTCCCTCACGGGAAAAGGACCGGAGCTAGCGTTCGTTCCTGGGTGCGTTGTGCATCCACCTCCCTGCAGCACATACTCCGTCCACAGCTTTATCAGGAAACCGTATTACTTCTCTCTCCCCCCCTTCGCTGCCTCTCTCTCTCCCCCCTCCGGTACACGGCACCGTAAGACGTAGTGTAGAGTTGCATTAGGTAACGCTGTGGTGGCTGTACTGCTCCAGCCGTCTCCTTTGTGTTTGTTTGTTTCCCCCTGTCTGTGTTGTTTTTGTGGGCGTGGTGGCTGTCACTCCTGGCTCCCGGCTCAACCTCCACTCACCTGCTGCAAGCAGCTGTGCACCCTCACGACTACACACCTGCTTTCCATCAAGCCATTTACAACGGCATATCAACGGAGGCTCCACAACCTTTCTACGCCAGATCGTCAAGTATCAGCCGTATCTCGCGTCTCCCCTCCGGTACACAGCACCGTAGTGTGGAGTTGCATTAGGTAACGCGAGATACGGCTGATACTTGCGCATTAGTTTCTGTTATGGATCAGTATCAACAGTCCTGCCAGTAACGTTACTATATTATCAATACTACTTTAGTTATAGCCTGATATATGATTGCTAACTTTACAATGTTGTGATGTGACTGATGTTAGCTAACATGCTAACGCCGGTCACTCACCAAGACAGCTGCTCTGTTCTCCACTGGTTCTCCACACACCAAAGCTCCATTTCTCTCCGATGGCCGTTATTTTTTCTAGTCCTTGGCTGCTCCTGGTCTCTCGGACGCCTAGCAGGCTCATAATTGTAATCATATGCATTCGAATATATATTTTCAACCTCTTCTGTGTCAAAACTAGCATTGTGACCCATGTTTATTCATACGTTAGACCGGCCGCTCTCCCCCTTGTTTCCCCCATGTTACGTCACACGCGGGAGATCACGTGCGGAGGCTTTTTTATGCGGAAGTGAAAATGTCTTACTAAAACGACGCCAGATGTCACTGTAGTGTATATTTCTGTATATTTTTGGGGAAATCTAGTGTATTCATCATTTTCCTACACATTTATTCACTGGTGTCTCTAACCTGCAAGTTGCTCTTTAAGATAACTCACATTATTGCTTTTTATCATCCTCCTTCCTTCGGCCTCTCTCAGCTGACGTATGTGCTGTTGGACATCGCCATTCAAGAGCTTTTCCCTGAGCTAAACAAGGTAAACAGAAGCTGGCTTTGGTTTCTGAATAAATATATTCTGAACATCCATCCCTTCTCTTTACGGGTTCATCCTTTGGGCTTCAGGGGGAATCTGAATGTATTTGTACAAAAAATGCATTTCTGTATCATCATTGTAACGCTCCTTATTACATTACATTAATTAACAAGCAAAACCTGTGATTGTATGATATCTCACAAATTATCAATAAAAGTAGATGCATCATATCGCAGGATAAAGTAGGCCCTCTAAATCACAGTATTTATTTAGGAGAATAAGATAATTCTTAACGTTTTTAACCTGCATTCAGCGACTGCAGTTAATCACATATAACAAACAATTAAATTGTCTGTGTACGTTTATTATACAACGGCATAGTATTACCAGGCATTGTTTTATATCTTCATTCTTAAATCAAACGTGAATCATTATTTGCCTGCATCTGTGACTATAAGTGATAAATACAAACTGTGTATATACATATAATAGAACACCTATTTAACAACTAAATATTTTCTTTAGTACTTATGCTGTTTTTGTTTCCTCAGCAGGTACAGAAGGAGGCCTCTGTGATGGCTCCATGGATGTAAAATGAACATAACAATGGACAATGAGCTCACATTCTCTCGACATTGAACTGAAACACCTGCAGAGATCTGTGTTGGTTCGTTTACATGAAACCAGCATGCAGACCCCATGTACAGTGTCTGACCGGGACACATGACGCAGCAAGAAGAGGAACACAAGGATTTCCCTGATGTATGTGTCATTAACATTGCAAAATAATATAAATAAATGATATGACAGTGTTATAAGAACACTGTGTAATTGTCTTTCACCGCTTACATTATAGTGTAAAGCACCTCTTGTTCACTGTGATATCCGCTTTACAAAATCTGCAAGACAATTGAAAAAAAGTAATATTTTCGAATATTCTTGCAAATTGTTTATTTGAAATATTTAAAAAACATAATTCAATACATAATTATATGAAAAACGATTTGAATGCTTTTTGTCAACTCAGATTACATGAATAATATACAGACTCATTAACAGCAGGAATAATACTTTAGAATCAAATTCATGACTCATTTTGATAAATACAATTAATTTTTTTAGATAAAAAGTAAAAAAAGAATACCTGAGAAGGGCGTTCTATTTCCCTTTTAAAATATATTCTAAAAGGCTTACAAAAGTACTTTATAAAGATGACTGCTGGCAACACGGGATGCAATGACGAAACCAGAAGAGCATCAGTGTTTGGAACAAAGTATTTGATCCCATCAGCTCGGGGGGTTTGGTTCTCGGCAAAGAAAAACATTCGAACAAGTGCATAGAAGGAGAGCTTCAAAAAGGTAATGTTCATGAGAAGAAGCAAATTCATGGCTTATTTACGGATCATATCTACAATATAACTACTCTAGCAATATATTTGTTCATCCAACTTGAAGATGGCCATGCTTTTGTAGCAATATTGTTATTATTATTATGAGATTAGATGAGCAGGCACAGTGCTGTTTTAAAAAATCAATCATGTGGCAGCCATAATGAATCTGAGTTTAGGATTGAAGACAGTCTTAAACTACAATAGATCAAACAATATTCACATTCAGTGCATTAATACTTCAGGCTTTGGCTTATTTCCCTCCATCTCTATTCATGGCAGATATATAGCAGCTAGACAGCTTTCCCTTTATTTGTTAACTCAATACAAAGTTGGACACTCGACTAAACTAACTTGCATGCATGTTTAAATTAACAGTATTATTAATATCCTTTACATATATTCCAAATGTATATTTAGGTTCTTCATTCTTCTTCAGCTGTGACATCTTGCACACATGCACAAAAGATGCTGTCATCCTAAACCCTTCAAATCAGTTGTTTAAATCACTGTATTCAGAAGCTACACTGAGGCTTTCTCTTCAATCTTGTTGTATTCTAGCTGTCCTTGAAAGGCAAAATCCCAGAGGAACGTACAGGCCGTTTAAGAGTTCAAAGCTATCAGCGGGTCAGAGACAGACATAAACCCAGCAGCAACAAACCCATGCTGTGTGCTGCTACGAAAGCCGAGTTCCTGAACGTGATCCGGCCTTCCACTGCAGGGTACACGCGCTTCATGTCCGAGATGTATTTGGAAAATACAGAAATGTCCATGTCACCTGCAAGAGGCAGCAAAGTTACGACTTTCTTGGTATTTGGTTGTTATTTTATGATGTGTTCCACATAAAAGTTTATATCCTTGCTGTCCCAGCTTAAAGCCTCCTGTTCTCTATTTTTACAATGCTATGAGAAACAGCTGCACAGCAATTAAATGCATCCAATTTAGATAAAACATTCCCTACCAGAGTGAGTTTAAATAAGTACACCAAGGGGGGACTTCTAAAAATGAGTGAACAGGGACTCTCCTAACACGTGATCACTGAAAGACAAATTGCACCCTGCAGTGCCTTGCTTAGGAGGACAGCTGCAGTCATTTCAAGTGAGTTAGACATTTAACTGTCCAGATGAGTGGGTAGTATGAAATGTAAATCATTTTATTAATTGTTTCTATAGCACAGAAGGAAAATCAGCTCACAAACAAGAGCTAAAGCTAACGGCTCTGTGAGGACTGTGTTGAAGCACAGTTGTGTTAGAGCTAATGCTAACACCAGCACGCTAACATTTGCTAAAAATTACTCAACACCAAATAGCCCACAGTTCAGGCTGTTCAAAAACATCATCTCAACGGTTTAGTTGCAGACATTTCTCTGTTTTTTCATTTGAATTTTGACAGGGACAAACACAGTTTGAGAAATCTGAACCAGATAACCAGCTCATTGCAGTAAAACAGTGAAAGTTCAGAGGCTTATTCTAACATCTTTTAATCAGTTCTCCATTCTTAACATGTTTCACAGGCACCTGAAAGTGGTTTGAGTTCATTTTAGATTCACTTCTGTAACTCCCCTTAACCACACATCATCAAAACACACTGATTAATGCTCAAAATCCTCCATTCAGATTACATTACCAACGTATAAACATTCTTACCTGTGTTATGTTTCAGTAACTCGTCCTTGATCATGGTAAAGCCATCGCCTCCGCCCACTATGTAAGAAGGCATCACCACAGTGTACGTCTTCTCGGGGTCGACCGGTTCATATTTGGGAACACGACACTCAGTGCAGAGCATGGACAAGGACACCACTCGCTGGTTCACTGGTTTGGAAAGGTCATACTGAACATGAATGCCTAGAAATGTCCAAGAGAAGATAAGGAAATGTTATGTATAGTTTCCGTTTTCCTCAGAGCTATCAACAACAGGATATGTTGAAACAGCTGTCTCTGTCCAAAGCTAAAGACATTTGTCCACTTGGGACTTTGCAGGCTATTCGATAAGAATAACATGAGAGTGGAATCAATCATCCAACTGTTGGCAGGGAAGCCAATAAGTCAATTATCCAAAATGTAAAATGATTCTACTAATGCTAAATATGACCTGAGGATGTAAAAGTTCAAATGATTCAAGAGGACTCCAGGGGAAACAGGTGGAGGAGCATAAAGGAACCGGAAGACAAACCTGAGACTTGAAGAAATTCTCCAGACATGCTTCCATATCTGTGAATGGAGTGCTCAAAGGCCTTCTTCACTGTGGATCCCTTTATCTTGACCAAGTCAAAGGTCCCTCCGAATGGTAAGACGGTGAGGATTTCCTCCATTGTTATGGAACCTTAAAGTTAGGGAAAAATACTGGTACATTTTAAAAGTAACTACAACTGCAGCCTTTGTAATGAAGAACTTGTGTTGAAAGAAAGTACCATTTTTGTAGTGCTCATCTATAGCTGTCCGTACGGCACCGCTATTCAGCATACAAATGCCCACATGATTCCATTGAAGCTCACTTGAATATTTTATGTTGTGATAAATCTGGCAATGCAAAATGGTAAACATGTTATACAGAAGTCAAACTCTGCCTCCTGGGAAAAGTGAATCTCCTGTTGTAATGTGCCTAAGGGGTATTTCTTTCAATCCGCTCCCAAAACCCCTGCAGGCCCTTTCAATTCCACAAATTTCCACCTAATGCTGAACATGCAGAGGCAGGATCTGAGAATGGTTACAAATACTGTCAGGTTCACATTTTGCGGAAATTAGTGACTAAGTCAAACTGCCATTCTATTTTCTCAGTGACTACTAGACTGTTTACCAAAGTGAGGAAGCCACTAAAGTCGCCCGTATTCTGTAAATGAATCAACAAATGAAGGTAATGTTTGCCTGTGATAATTACCATAGCATCACAGATCAGGTTTCCAAGGTTACACTCCCGAAATCGACACTCTTCAAACGTCCCATTGAGGTAGACTAAGGTCTGTCCGACATACTGGGAGGAATACTGAGCCAAGTCTTTCTTCCACTCTTCAATGTCAGCGAGGATATCTGGGTCTGAGAAAGCAACAAGACGAATGAAGCTTGTTCAAATGATTAGATTTAAAAATGTGCAAGTAGTTAAAGCTTTCATTTTAAAAGCTGTGTAAACATCACAGTAAGTATCAACATTATGCCAACGTTAATTATAGCTTCACTTGGACACATCGACATGTCAAGTCAAATCTTTGTTTTGTTTTTTGGAGAACGGTTGAAAATTCAAGCATGGACCCGTTTTAATTACTGTAATTGTAGTCTACCTTGAGGAATGCTGCTGTCCATTAGGATGGGGTTCCCAACTGCTTTTACCACATTCCCAGCCTGGTCAAAGGTAACTTTTAGGTATCCGAGGTACTTCCCAAAGGCAAAGGCCTGCACCACCGGCACATTCCTCCCATCATTGGATCTCACCATGAAAGGGTACGGACCTGCTGGCACTTCAGTGGATGGGGGTTTTCCTGCCAAGACAGTTTGCAGAGCACCGTTTCTCACTTCCCGTTGCAGTGAAGGTAAAACCATGCATTTTGATCTTGTGATTTTTTCCCTATTGTTGTATCTACATTTGCTAAAACTGAAACTGCAGCTGAATTGAACAAAATAAAGTTACAAAAACCAGTTAAACACAGTCAGCTTCTCCTTGTTAGGATTACTTCATTGTTCATTGTTAATGATGTTTTTACCTGGGGCCAGATTATAATTCTCTCTTTCTCTACAAAACATTGAGAACAACTGGTAAAACACTATATTAAAACAGTTTCACGTTAAAAATCAAGGCTTCCCAGAGGACAAGCTACAGTAAAGGCTAATTTCTATAATTGTTCAAATCCCTTGTTTAAAAGATCAATATTTTAAAAAAGGATTGTAAAAATCTTCTTAAATCTGGATACAAATTAAATTAACAGGTTTCAAAGATACAAGAAAGAAGATTTTGTTGCCACTAGATCAGACCCGAATGAAATAAAATAGGAAAACAAGTACCAGTATAGAGGAATGTGTTGGTGTGTCCCCCGATAACGACATCAATCCCTCTCACACGTTTGGCGATTTCTTGATCCATGGCAAAGCCAGAGTGGCCCAGGGCGATGATCTTATTATAGCCCAAGGTTTCCAGCTTATCGACCTGAACCTGAAGTGCCTTCACCTCATCCTCAAATGTAAGATGTTGGCCTAACAGAGGGGGGTGGGGGGGAATTCATTATAAAAAACCTGTGTTGTACATTTACTGTGGTCTGAGCTTCATGAATATACTGGTCAAACATGAACTGCTGCATGCAACAATGTGCCAAAAATTAATTCAACACTTCATCAATCAAACTACAGGTTATTCATTTTACCTGGCATGGATAGGAAGGGGGTCTCTGCAGTGGTGTAGCCAACCACAGCCACTTTCTCTACGCCCACATTTATGACAGTGTAGGGCTGGTAGTAGCCGCTGAGTTTTGAGGCCAGGGTCTGGTCTGGTTTTATGTTTGCACTCACCATAGAGCAATTTACATTTTGGAGGAAGGGCTTGATCAGACCTTCCACTCCATTGTCAAACTCATGATTTCCAAAAGCCTTTATATATAGAAAAACAGAATTGCATTAGCTGATGGAATCCAGTGATTTTTAATGCAATGTCAGTATAACGCCCAAAACAACATATTCAGCTGTTGTGTTTTAAGTAAAAATCCCAATTTAAAGAGTATTTATTTACCATGGCATCATAACCGAGTTTGTTCATGAAGTGAGCTGCTTCGGCGCCTTTATAGTAGTTGAACCAAACAGTCCCCTGAAACTGGTCTCCAGCATCCAGGAACAAAACATTCTTCTCCTTTTTCCGGATCTCCGACACTTTAGTGAACCTCCTGGCGACCCCAGCGAAACATGGACCCCTTGATGAACACTTCCCCGAGTCAACGCTGGTCTCCTCAATCCGGGCATGGTTGTCGTTAGTGTGAAGCAGTGTCACCTCGAAAGTCGACGCTGTGCCCGAACAGTTTAGAAAGACGCAGAGCCAGGTCAGGAGAGCGCACCGAGACGTCCAGACGCTCATCTTGCCGTTGTGCGTAAAAACGCAACAGTGACCAAGAATGTATAGCACTCGAAAAAAGGCGTGGGCTTTTCCCCTCAAGAAGGATGTGTCAAAACGAAGAGGGGATACAGTCGGGGTCACATCATTCCCGAATTGAAAAATATAAATAAAGTATAAAGTAAAAGCGTCTGCAGTAAAGGTCAGCTTATATGTAAACTTCAAGCACAACAACTTTTGGGATGCCGTTTTTTAGGGACATATGGGACAACTTTTGTGTGTTTGAAAAAAAATCTATCAGCCTTTACCCTTTATATGTTGCAGATGTCTCTTGGCTGTAATAGGATTTCAAATTTAGAATAAATACAAATGCTAAGACTTTCCATCATTATAATCGGTTAGACAACATATTGGTTCTCTTTTCAACTTTTCACTATCTGACAATTATTAGGTAGGCTAGTACTCCCTATTGTTTCCTCTTTTTCTAATGAATGACGGAACACACACTTCTCTTTGGAGTAAAAGTGAACTCACTGATCTGTCTGCTCTCAGTGCCCCTCACTCAACAGCACCACTTGGTGGAGAGACTCTGACCCTGTTGACCGCCAATAATCTTTTTCTCATAAATCAAATATATATAACCCAGAATACTGTAGGATAATGGTTACAATATCCACAAAAATACCACCACTGTGAACTGTACATAATGAATGTATGGAAACCTCATAGACAAGAATAATTTAATTAAATGATTAAAATCTTGTATTTTGGGAAAAATGCTATAGGTTTCATTGGCCTTGAAGAATAATTTTTTTATTTGTAGCAGCCTTTATTTATATATTTTCCATTGCAACTGTTGGAATGACAACAATACTTTTCTCCTTTTCTTTCTTAAACTGATTTACTAGTACACTTTTGGGTTCCATGAGCATTTATCACTAGTTTCTGGTGAAGGAGCTGCAGCAGAAAATGTCTTGTCAGAGACAAAGTGAGAAACAAATATAAATAGTTTTCAGCCTTCATATAGCAACCTCACACTCATAAAAAACTTGACACTACAATTTGAAAAGACATTAGGGGTTTAAAAAATGAAAGGACTTACCCAAGCATGAACAATGTTGCGTGCATTATTGCACAAAGGTTTATGCGTTAAATCACGAGCAAATCTCATTGGCCTTTGCAGGAAGGCTGAGTTAATATCCCCAAGTGTTCACTGAGAGGCTGCAAGAGAACCAGCCAGTTTATCTGTGCTAAAACTTTATAGCAGCAGACACACAGCTATCATAAATGAACTGAGCCTTGTAGAAATTTCCTTCCTAATAAAACATTTGACTTGTGTGGTACCTCCTCTCCAAGTTGAATGATAACCCTAGTCCTTCACAGATGTGCAACAGCTTCCAGAGTTGGGCGTACAACAGTCGACGAAACAAATAAAGGTTTCATTTGGTGCAGTCTAACACAGGAGCTGACATAGACAGATGGCATATTTGTGAAACTTAAGCGTAAACACGCAGTAATTATAGGTTCCCAAACCTTTGAGGAATGATAAATTCCCCTGTCTTCTTTCTCCGTATTTAGTCCTCCTCTGGGGCTCTTAAAAAGGTTACTGTACAAAACAATCTCATCTGGCAAGCAGCTTTGATACAGTGGGTTTACTTCTAAGTATTTTTGGTGAAGTAAAGGTGGAAAGTGTTTCTTCAATAAATCATCTATTTTTCTTGTACTCTCATTCATACGGTTCTTTAAATGAAACACGAGCTGTGAAGTCAACCCCTAAGGTTTATATGTTTATACTGATAATTTATGTTTCTCTAACATTATCACCAGACTTTTCTTTTACATATTGCTGACACACACACACACACACACACACACACACACACACACACACACACACACACACACACACACACACACACACACACAACTTTTACCTTCAGGAAGCGGTAAATCAATCTGAAGCTCACATAATCAAGTCCTATTCCTCTCATATCACAGAGGAGCAGGTCAATTACAATGTTTGCCATTTACTGTATACCTCCGGGTAATCATCCTTTAAATGTTAATATGAGGCCATCTGTGATACTGCAGCTGCATGCGGTGAATGCTTAGAGACAATTATGCATTATGCAACTAAACACCAGTGACTGACACAATGGTATCACTGCAGCATCATTGTCAGGGCTTAATAAATCAATGCTACGCTTCCTTTTCCCCCCTCCTCAACATGTGGACCAGTTCCAGCTCTTATAAGTGCAATAAACTCTTGCCTGCCTGCAGTCAGTCTCCCATCTGACCATGCAGTCTCCAAATGGACTCATCCTCTTCCTCTAAAGCCAAAATGGACTGACCGCAGTAAAACAAGCCTGTTACTAATCAGTCATCTTCACCACTTATCGCCTTATTTCCTCTTACATGTATTCCTCCAGGGAATATAATTCTGTTCTATATAGTGCATTTAGGTATACACTCCTCCCACCCCTTCCTGGAAGCTGTGGGCTGAAATGCTCCAAGCAAGCAGCCTTTTACTTGAGAGACCCATACAATATTTGCAGAGAGCATCTCCCAGAAATGGGGCACACATTCTCCAAAATGTGACACAGTTCCCTACATGGTGCCTCCAGCTCCGTTAGATGATCACTGGATCTCGAAAGTTAAAAGCCCACAGAGCCTCTAGTTGTAAATAGTAGCCCATATCTCTCCATATGCATTTTTTAGCAGGGGGCCTTTGAGGGCTGATTGGCGGAGCAGAAGGCACCATATGCCATCAGACCAGGCTGGGACACACTGCAGTGGGACGGGTGCTGCTCCTCAACATGTGTCCTATTTCTGAGCCTCTCATTGTAATCCTATTACACACTGCAGTGGTGGAGGAAGTACGCAGATCCTATACTGAAGTCAAAGATAGGCTCGCCCCATTACATTTAAATGTAACTCAAGTTGTACAACAACAGTAAAATATATTTGAGTTTAGAAAATAATTATGATATTGTATTGTCTTTTAAAGAATGTATTTGTAGAAGCATTTAAAGAAATACCGATTTATATATTGCACTCCTATGATTTGCACTCTGCATTTGTCTTCCTAGTCAGCACCTGATGCCTACATTACCCATAATGCAACTTGACTGCTGACATTTTGTTTGAGATTCAAGCAGAGGAGTGGAGCTGGCTACAGAGGTCTGGTAAGCACACTTTTTTCAATTAAAAACTGGAGTCTTCAGACTACAACCGATACTGACTCAAGGGACCATTTATTACATTTCAAAAGTCTTGCCCCAGCATCAAAAGGCTTTAAACAACTTTGTTATACATGTGCATTAGTAGTTTCCAAGACCCTTTTAAACAGATTTGATGAATAAAATGACTATTGCACTTCCTCTTTACATTTGATTGCAGAGAACTTGTTTTCAACTACTTTTTACACCGCTTTGTGAAAAGGTTGCTTCTCTCCATTTTAATTAGGCCCTGTTCCACTAAATTAAGAGTGGTTTTGTGTCTGCTTAATTAGTGTGAATGCTGTTTACAGCATTCCACTATAGTTCTTCAAATCTTTATTCTTCCCCTTATTTCAGCCAATACTTTGGCTCTCAATAACTTCAGCATACTTTCAGCTACAGAAACCATTCAAATATCAAACTATTCAAACTTCATATTGACTTCAACATGTTCCACATATTTTATACATTATTGGTGATGTATGGTTTTAGTCGAAAAGTTTGCAGTCAAAATATTCTGCTGCTTTCCCAATCCTTTTTACTTTCTTTTCTCTTCTTACACATTCATTCACTCCTGCTTACATCTGATATTTAACTCCTTCAGCCAACCTTCAGCTGCAGAAACTATTCAATTATTCAGCTATTTCAGGACATTGAGGCTATACATGTTGTTGTTTATACCTTTTCTTTTAAATATTAAGCATCTTCACTATTTTTCCTACTCTTCCAGTTTAACATTTCACTTTCAAGTTTTCAACAAAGTCATTGCAATGCATTTGAGCTGTAACCATTTTGATTCAAATCATTTCACTTTTCTGCATTTCTCCGCTAAGTTCAGCAACAAACTTACTTGGTTTTATCTAAAAGCAGCTACCATTCAACTAATAACATATTCTGCTTTTTCTGCATTTTCAACTAAATTCAGCCACAAATGTTCACAGTTTACAGCATTCGCACGCATTTCCTGCAGGAAATGCATTTTCTAATTGTTAATTACAGTCCAATGTTTCAGTTGAGTTAATACAGCATTATCAATTAGGTGTGTAAATGACACAATCTTATTTGTGTGTTTGTTTTATGGCTTCATGGGATTTGTTTTGTTTTTTGGATGAGGTAGATCAGCTGCCTAATCAAGGAAAGTGCTTACAGGTGCGCCTGATTATGTTCTCTTAGCAGCTGGGCACAAGAGGTAAGAAGATAGGTAAGATAATCTGCAGTAAGTGACATTATAGTGTGCTCCCTGTTAGGGATGGGTGCACACACTAAAAGTGTCAGCAGTAACATGAAGATCTTCTGTTGATTGTATGGTCATTGTTGTGTGTGATTTGGAAGTTTGCTCGGTTGAACTCACCCCGTACTGACAGATATATGTTCCAGGTAGGTGAGGCTGAGAAGGTAAAATGCCATTCAGAGTACAGAAAGCAGATTTGATTAGCTTTGGGTTCTTTTTCTTCGGTTTATTATAGTTTTACTGGTATTCCAATGTTTATTTTTCGTATTTTGTTTCAAACTTTGTCAGTAAATACAATTTTTCCCCGTACTTACTACTTTTAAATCCAGGCTGATGACTTTTCTTTTTGCCACTGCTTTTAATTGAAACTGAGCGGTTGTGTTTCATTTTTGGTTAATGAACATTTGGGGCTAGTAACCCCAGGGAATTAGTGTCTGGGGACTTTGCCCTGGCTGATTTTCTCTGTGTATGCTGCTCGGGACGTATGTGCCATACGAGCGTACACAGCTCATGTTTGGAGAAACCTTAAAGAAAGGCATCAGTAAAGTGGAACTTCTGTGTAAACTATTCATATCTTAAACTGCACTGTAACTTTTTATTCATGTACT